AACAAAAGAAACGGCAATACAAAAATATGGTATCGGCTATTGGCGAAATTGTGAAACAATTTTTTTGCCAAATTTTAAACATTGGTATCGTTATAGGCCCAGAATTTTTAAATCAGTGCATCCCTAGTTTAATTAGAAAGTTAATTTGTACATTTGTTATTATGGTGCACTGACATATTTTATTGTTCATTCTTCTGAACAAGTGAATTTGTAATTTTTTTTGTGATTATTGATTTCTTTGATTATTATAACACATGTACAACATGTTTAGTTACTTTGACTGTTGAGCTGCAGCAAACAACATGTTTTTTGGGGGGCGAGGGGCTCGTCTAGGGCACCAAATATCCCAGGTATCCAAGGGCTGCCACTGCCCTCTCATGCCATAGTGCACACATATAAAATTTTATGCTTCCAAGTTGGCTTCATTGCAGTAGCTGTAGCCGAAAGATGCATTATGATTTTAGTTCTGCAGAGAAAACAGTTTAGAGAAAACAATGATGAAAAAAAAGCCCAGAACTTTGCAGCAGTGAGGTCATGGTCTGACCTTTTGTTCATGTGATCATAATTCACTGGCAAATATTTCCAGGACTGATCAGATTCTTCGATTTGATGTGTTGTTTCACATTAAATTTTGATGTGGTTGATGTTCGGACTTGTTCTTACAGACCCAGCGGCACAGTTTGCATAAATGTGAGATTTTTCTGTTGGCGTTTGTACTGATTTGTTAAAAGTCCTTTAAATATCCGTACGAACTGTCCTCAGCTGCACCGGAAGCTGTGTGTCTGGACTGCAATTAGCACTTACCATGCTGGTGTGCTGCTGTTAAACGCTGTTGTGAGAGTGAACACGGCTCATGTTCATGGTAAATAGGTACAAACTGGTGCATTCAGTCACCAAAGATATAAGCATGTTCAGTTAGCGTGTTGTTTTCACAGCACTAGGCACCATATTGTATTATTTCATTTCATTTCATTTATTTGCACATATGAAATAAGAAAGCAGAACATAGAAGTAATATAGTCATACATAGCATGTGCAGGTGAGGTAGAAACCCATTACAGGCTTATGTTAAGAAACCTCACCTAGACAAACATAACAAAACTATGCAAAAAAAAATGAAAAAACAAAACATACACGATAACAAACATGTTATCTGTGCAGGCCTCAGCGACACGCTCGACACGTTCTCCAGGGTGACTCCTGTCCATAAAAGGAAGATTTCTCTTGACCGTGGTGATGAATATCAACCACTGCATCAGAATCATTAAGCTGGATCCATTAAGCTTAACCCCTCATATCCACCTTGATGCTTATTATTCCCTCTGCATCATCAGCCTCTAATCTAACAGGCCTGATCGATAGTCATATCTCTGCATGATTGCTGGCTGCTGGGGTTCGTTATTTGCCTGACTGACCCCTGCTGCAGCGTAGAGTCAGAGGTGAAACGCTGTATGCCAAACAAACACATAAAATGATATGCAGCTGCAGGGAGCGGGGAGCCAAATTGGAGCGCAGCAAGCTCACGTAGGCTTCAGGTTTGGTTCGTCAACAGAGTGAACTGATGGATGAATTAGTTCTTCAAATCTACTCCTTTAATGCTCTGTTTGCTTTGGAGCTTTGCTATCGTCAACAATTTGCAGTCGTGCGATGTATTCTCTTAAAGGCTTTAGCTAAATTAAGGACACATTTGTCTTGTACAAAACATCTCGGCTCCCACGACGGCTGACCTCAGTGATCCTCTCACTTGTAATTGTGTTAGTTTCAACCGCTGTTAAGAATACATGCAAGACATTAGGAAGCTGCTGCTGCTGCTGTGTGACATTACTCTTTGGTTCCTGTGTGTGTGTGTGTGTGTGTGTGTGTGTGTGCACGCACGTGTGTATGTGTTCTTGTACTAATACGTTGTGAGGACATCTGTTCACACAGTACATTACGGGGACACATCCTCTAGTTGAGGACAAAAACTTGATCCCCACATGGTAACTTTATTGTTTGTTTGAGATTAGGTTAAATCTTAATGGGATCAATGAAGGTGAATGCACTGTCCTCTGCACTGACAAAAACAAGTGTGTTTTTAATCCACCTGAGACCTCAGTGACCTGATGCAGCCCGCAGCCCACACCAACACTGTGTCCAGGGACCATCCTAAACACTATGCTATGTGTTAATGTAATATGAGTGATTTTTTATAGAATTGTAATGTAACCTTCAGATCATTTTTTTTTAATTGAAGTCGTAAATTTATGAGATAAAAACACAAATATTCTCTGAGATTAAAGTGATAAATTCAAAAGACAAAATTCACAAAATCAGAATAACAAACTTGAATATTCTTTGAGATTATAAAGTCAATCATCTGCAAGAAAATCTGAAATTCTCCGACATTAAAGTCACATATTTATGAGAAAAATAAGATAAAAGTAGTAGTGACATCACATTTCTAACCTGGAACACATGTTGAACCTATACTGGTGTAACAACGGATCACTGTTACCACATCTGTGGTTCATAGTAAAAAGTATCACCAGACAAAAAAAGCTAATTCATGCACAGATTTGCACGTATTATTCAGCTTATTACCTGTGGGATTTTAACAAATGTATTAATTGACTGACTGTGTATTGCGGTTTTCTTGATTCTGGTGTTTCACAGCGGGACGCTCGGCTGTTCCGCCTCATTGATTGTAGCCTGTCAATGAGCAAATACTGTGCATTGATATATGAGTCAGTAGCAACAAAATATTTGCAAACTGAGGATTGTAATGTGAGACTCATGCTAAGATAATTGTAATAGTAAATTGAAATCTGTCTGTGTCATGCACAAACTTACCTCTGCCTATTCTCCTCGAGTCTTTAGGCAAAGTAATTCCCTGAAGGCTCACACACCTGTTGATAGTTCCTGGAGGGTAACAACAAGTGAGGAGAGGGTAGATGTGTACATGCCCAAATATAAACTCTGATAAATCAGTTCCTCCTGGATATCATGAGCTGTTTTTGGGGCTGAGATGCCTAATTTCACAGCAGCATTTATTTATTTATTTATTTTATCCTGGTGTCTGATTGTTGATACTGTTTCTTGTAGTTGTGTGTTTTTATGGACTGAACTGAGTCTGAAATAAAGACTGATTGATTGAAAAACTGCAGTGCATGTTTCAATGTTTAAAGGTGTTTTTTGCAATGAAACTGTAGGAGCAAGTAAAAAATGCAAAGACAATTGTGATGCTGTCTCAGATTTGAAGCACGTTATCAGGAGTATTCAGTGTTTCCTGCAGCATTAATATTTATGTGTGACGGTCGGGGGAGGGGTCAGCAGTTTGTTGATGCCGTTTAAAGCAGCACTGAAGGACCATCACTGTAGGCCGCTCTCCTCCTGCTCTCTCTGCTCAGTTAGCACGAGCTAACACACATGGCAACATGATCTCATCCATTCTTGTAGGATTATGCTGCTCGGGCAGAGGCCCCTGCAGCAGTGGTTATCATCCGACACCAAGCTGTTAATCTCACACCGACACCAAAATGGCTCAACTCTGTTGTTAAACCTGTCAAACTGTTGGGTAGTGTTAGCTTTGTGATGCTAACAGTTAGTTGTGTCATTGTAGCAGTAGTTACATAATAAACAGAGAGGAGAGGTTGAGCTGATCGACTGTGTGCAGCTCTGCAATGAAATGAGACCTAAACCATTTTAAAAAGTCAAATTTGTGGTAAATTGCAAAATTGCAAGGTTGCAGAATTCAGGGGTATTGGCTGAATTTCATCACAACATCCTGGAGGGACAGCAATATCTTATGTAAATAAATACATTCCTGATTTGATTTTGATACAAAATATGACTTAATTACATGTTATTAGTAAATCATAAAATAAAGTATGAATGCTGCAGCATCTGTGGTGTGGTTCCGATTTTTTTCTAGAAAAAGTATGACTTTATAATCTAAGGCAAAATCTGAGTTTTTATCTCATAAATTAAACACTTCAATCTCAGAAGTTCTGGGTTTTGTATTGGACTATTACCACCCTCCTCCAACAACCTATTTTTATATTTTGTTTTTACATTTTTTTTTATTTTTTTTAACCTAAAATGGCCCCATTATGCTGTTGTATGATTACTTACAAAAACAATACTCATATATTTGATGAAAAAACTGGGAAATGTTACAAAGCGTGTACCATCATATGTCGGTAAAACTGCAACTTTCAAAAGCTGCAACTTCAATAAAAAGTTTGATTTTTCCAACACGTTGTCGCATAGTTTTAAAAAGATAATGAAAATGTGTAAAACACAAAAAATATTCAGAAATAAGATTAACAAATAAAAAGAGTTATGAAAGCCAGTGTGTATATGAATATTTGTTTGAGACTTAAGGATATGTATAGTATATATTGTGTCGGTGTAATAAATGATGGCTTTTCAGTTAGCTGATTTATTATTGTTAAACTACTACTTTGATTTTAAATGCAATGTCTTTCTTTCTCAGTTTTTATTCAGCTGTGAGCAGCTTCTCAGCAGATCTCTCTGCGTTGCATCGTACCAACACACTCAAGCATTACTTACATACTTACTGACATTATTCTCACCATAGGATGCAGTAAAGAACATGGATTTCTTGTTTTCCAAGTGGAACATAAAGTACTAGACTATGATAATTAGTACATATAATTACAGACAGTGTGTAGCGTGGCATGTAGACCCAGCATTCGTCTGCACACTGACAGCACTGTGTATATTCATGGTGTCTCTTTTCCAGTGTGAATGTGAAGTTGGACCACAGCCTAAAACATTATCACTTTTTATTCCCTGTCAGACTCCATCAGTTTGCCCTTATTCCTCTCTTTACTCTTTTCCTTATCTCTTTTATTTATTTGATCCTTTTCCTCTCTACTTCACCTCTTTCCACCCACAGATCAATCCCTCCCCCTCCTCACCCTCCTCCCCTCACTGTCACTCCCCTCTGCCTCATTTCTCTCCTCTCCCACTGCTCACTACTTGCAGTGATGTACTGGCTGCCTGGACTCCACTTCTTCTCCTCCTCCTCCTCCCCCCCTTCTCTCTCCTCCTCCACGTCTCCTCAGTGGGTGTTCAGCAGCGATGTCGGGGACTCTGTAGGAGCCTCTGGGGGACCGTCGCAGCGCAGGACCGGCTGTAACCAGGTGGAGAGTCGCTGTGAGAACTGGATGTGAAGGTAAGGCTGCAGACAGTGAGACTGACCATACAAGGGCAAACAAAGCCAAAGAAAACTCTCTCCATCTCCATCCAGTGTTTATGTGCGAGTGCCTGCGCTGCTCTGTTGTAAAAGGATGAAATGTTCCCGTTTCTTGTGCAATCAGTGCTGTTACACATCATTACTTCAGATGCTGGTGGAAGGTACAGTCTTATTATAAGTTATTTAGAGACACAAGGAGCGAGTCTGGACTGCTTCACTTTCAGTTGTTTCATAATCGACTTTGTCTTGCACTCTGTCTTTCATTCATTAACAAAATGTGCTTTAAGTGTTTACTTGTTATTTCAGCCAACTAAAATCTTCTGAGAAAGAGACATTTGCCATTATATAAGCTGTTAATTTCTGCCAAATGTACTTCTGGATTCTGTCCTCATAGCAACACTGACAGGTCAGGACTCGGCCTCATGAATGAACATTTAGCATCTCAATGTGCACGATGGGGGAATTTCTTTAAGGCTTCATCCCGGTGCTGCCTGTCAGCCATCGATTTCCCATTCAGGCACACCTTTCAACATCAAACCTTAAGTAGTGCTCACATCAACTCAGTTACCAGAAAAAATGTTGGCATTGTAGATTTCTGCAACCTCTGGATATGTTACATTTGCACGTAGCAGATTCAACACAGTGGTTTTAATGTGTGGTTAGGTGTATAGATAAAAAAGACATGGTTATGGTTAGTAAAAGATCATGTGTGGGTTAAAGTACCTGGTTTTGGAGGCACAATCCCCGCTGGAAAAGCAGCAATGTCTCAAAAGAAAATTGCTTTTTGTGCCACTATCCCGGCAGGAAACACAGCAACAGGTTGCTAAAAAAATTATCCACATTTGGTGCCGAAAAAGTTGCCGAATACACAGCGATGACGCACTAAAGAACAACTGGCTTTATTGTTTGTTGGTCTCTAACAGTGGTCTGCAGCTGGTTGTTTGTGAATTGCACATGGCGATGTAGAGGATTTGTTGAAGCTTTACATTTCTTTATGTTTCAACAATGCTGTCGTTAATGTGTCGTTATGTTTAGGCACAAAAACTTCTTGCTTTTGATCATGTTTTGGTTCAAGATACTCAGTTTTTCATGGCCCAATTCTGGCTGGAAACTCAGCAAGTCTCAGTAAAAAGTAATCACTTTGCATTGCTTGAAAAACAGCAACGCATCCCTAAAAACAGCGTCTGCAGCGTGTTTGCGTGTTGTTTATAATTTGTATGTTATGTTGCCGATACATTGAAACTCTATGTTTCTTTATGTTTCAACAACACTATGGTTAAAGTGTGGTTATGTTTAGGCACAAAAACCTCTTGGTCATGGTTAGAAAAAGATCATTTTTTGGCTTAAAACACCAAGTTTTGGGGGCACAGTCACCGCTGGACAAGCAGTGATGTCTTGGCAAGAAACATCTACTTTTCTTGCAACTGTCCCTCTTGAAATAATAGTGACAGCTAAAAAACACTCACGTTTGTTGACTGAAAAGTTGCAGGAAACGTTAGTAAAAAACAACCAGTTTTGGTGTTTGGTGGTCTCAAATCTGCAGCTTGTTTGCATGCTGTTTGTAATTAGTTTGCCAATACGTAGTGGATACTTTGAAACTTAACATTTCATTATGTTCCAACAGTGCTGTGAGTAATGTTTGGTTATGTTTAGGCACAAAACAACTTTGTTATGGTTAGGACAAGATCATAGAGTTTTAGGGGCTAATTCCCGCTTAAAAAGCTGTGATGTGTCAGTAAAAAAAACAACCCCTTTCCATGCCACTATATCAGCAAGAAAAGCAGTGACATGTTGCAAAAAAAACACCCGTGTTTGGGGCTGAAAAGCAGCTGGAAACAGAGTGATGACCTGTTTGTTGGTCTTGAACAGTGGTCTGCAGCTTTTTGTAATTTGTTATTAATTTGTACATTATTATGCTGCAGCTACGTTCAAACTTGTGTTTCTTTATGGGCATTATCCTCACAGGAACCACCTCAATTTCTTGCTAAAAACTTTTTGTGGCATTATTCACTGTACCGTGATGTGTCGCTAAAGAACACAGTGATTTAAAGTTGCTGGAAACACAGCAATGCACCACCATCCAACTAACAAATTCAGCTCATATACCACAGCACATTAGAAACGTTGATATTCTACGTATCAAACGTACAAATGTAACATATCTGCAGTACAACGCCTAAACGTTTTCTTCTGGCGACTGGGCTGCTCACTTTCATTATAGATGCCTGAATGCGTCCTCCTTCCTCTCATGTGAAACAGTGATATGTTCGCTGTCCAGTAGAGCTGGCAGCACCCTTTATCTCCCAGCGCTGTTGTTTCAGGTGCACCGACTCTTGATGAATTATTAAGAGGACTCAGTGGAGCACAGATAGTTCAGCTTCCTGGGCACTGAGTCCCCCTCAGAGCCACGTCCCTAAGCCTCCAGATGCATCTCAGCCCCGGGTAAAGTCCTAATGAGAAACATGCCTCGGCCTCTGATCTGCACGGAGTAGCTGCTCAGCTGTTCCGGTTTAAGTCGATGGGTTTTTAAGAGGGGATTCTTCAGAGAATACAGTCCGCCGGCCTTTAACTGGAGCTGTGTGATCAACCTGTTCTGTTGTCACGTCAATAGACCTGATTTCCCCTGTGTGAGAAGACTTTAACAGTCTGAGAGCGGATTTAATCAAACACTTCTGAAGTGAAGACAGCTCCATTTCCACCTTGAATCTGCAGCACCCGAGGGACTGAGCACAATGATTAGTCTCAACGGGAAACTTCCCAGAGAATAAAGTGTGATGAAGATTAAGTACAGGAGACAGAGAACTCCCCGAGCTTCAAGATTTCATTTGCACTTTCAGGATTTAAGAGGACCTGGGCCGGTGTAAAAGAAGTGGCTGCAGGGATATTGATTAGTCAGTGTAATTACTGTTCCCCTGAGCCATGTTGTGCCGGCAACCTCAAAACCTTCTCATTCATAATGGTCATCTTTCTTTCTGCTGGTCCTGAGATGAACCTCACAAGGAAATGGATCAGGTGTCGGAGAAAGGCAGTAAGTCACCGTGTACAGGTCTCCAGGAGCCATTTTACCACAGTGGTTTTCAAAGGCAGTTTTACTTCTCTTCAGACTGTGCTTTTATATTGATTTCCTTTGCTTTTCCTCCTTTTACTTTGGGCAGTGGTGCTTGTGGCAGCTAATAATATAACAGTTTACTACAAAATATACAACAACAACTGAAGGGACAATTTTGATAATTGATTGATGGTTCAGTTCAGTTTTCTTAGAAAGTAATGCCACTACGAGTAATTCCAGCGCCTTCAATGTGAATATTTGTCGGTTTACTTCAGTCTTTGCACTGTTTGGACAAAACGAGCAATTTGAAGACATCAGCAGCTGCTCTCGTGCGCTGTTTGTACGTATGCCTACATAAGTAATTCATCAATATTCTTGTATAACCTATATAAGGTAGGCTGCGATCATGTAACGAATGCACTGACTGGAGTAAAGCAGGAAGTAGTATAAAGACCAAAGGTTTCGGTGATGGATTGATCACAAAACATACCAACGTCAGCAACCAATGCACCCAGGGTATCGTGCATGTCGTATCTGGACATGGGAAGTCCATGACCAATCGTCGATATGTGACGAGGTCAGAGTGAGAATGTGTTGTCACTACAGACTACATCGTAGACGGTTGGCAGTGATCCACGCTGCTGGGCCATGCCGTACTGTGCATTATCGTGGTTAGTTTGTTTCCATGCATATACCTTCACAGTATCCTGTTCCACTGGAGCGTTTTGAGGCAGTTGGGATGAGAGTCAGCACCTCCAAGTCTGAGGCCATGGTCCTCTGTCGGAAACCGGTGGTTTGTCCTCTCCGGGTTGGAGGAGAGTTACTGCCTCAAGCAAGGGAGTTCAAGTATCTCGGGGTCTTGTTCACGAGTGAGGGTAGAATGGAGCGTGAGATGGATCGGCGGGTCGGTGCAGCTTCTGCAGTGATGCGGGCGATGCGCCAGGCGGTCGTGATGAAGAGGGAGCTGAGCCAGAAAGCAAAGCTTTCAATTTACTGGTCCATCTTTGTCCCAACCCTCACCTATGGTCATGAGCTCTGGGTAGTGACTGAAAGAATGAGGTCACGGAAACAAGCGATGGAAATGAGTTTCCTCCGTGGGGTGTCTGGGCTCAGCCTTAGAGATAGGGGGAGGAGTCAGACATCCGGAGGGAGCTCGGAGTAGAGCCGCTGCTCCTTCGCATCGAAAGGGGTCAGTTGGCTCGGGCATCTGATCAGGATCCTCCTGGGCGCCTCCCGCTGGAGGTGTTCTGGGCACGTCCCACTGGTAGGAGGCCCCGGGGCAGACCCAGAACACACTGGAGGGATTACATAACTCGTCTGGCCTGGGAACGCCTTGGGGTCCCCCAGGAGGAGCTGGAAAGCGTTGCCGGGGAGAGGGATGTCTGGGGTGACCCGGCCCCGGATAAGCGGATGAAAATGGATGGATGGATGGAACTTGTGACTTTCAAATGAATGTAACTAGTAATATGTAATACATTACAGCCTGAGAGTAACTTGTCCAACACTGGTCGTATTTTGGATGAGAACAGTCTCAGTTTTTAACTGTGTATTATTTATGCACAAACACATGCTGTAGAAATCAGACGGACAGAGGTGAGTTCTTCTGTTTGAAGTAAAGTATATCTGCACTCCATCTCCTCTGGGAGTGAACCTCCCTTTAATACTGAGCAGGACATCCCATCTTAGTACGTGAGATCTTGTTACATAACAAAGAGTGAAATATGAGAATGTTTCGTACATAAACAAAGCGACCAAAATGTGCACGAGTTAAATAAAGAAAGAAAAAAGGGGAGTCACATTCTGAGCTCACAAAGTGTCTTTTTATGGCCTGGATTTAAGTCTCTGTGCCAAAACGCCAGGAGCATGTGGTGTTTTGTGATTACGACTTCTTATCACGACACGAGTCACAGCTGAGACCAGAGGAGTGAAAAATACATCAGATCAACAGATTAATTCAGACGGGACGGCCATTAAAGAGTGATAAAATGTCCTGACCTCATGTTACACTAAATGTTCATGACAACAGAGACATTTGTCAGACTGCAACAGATAGGAAATGTTTTTTTTTCCAAAACACAAAATACCGTTTTTTTAGGTTAACTTTTTTTCTCAACCCTGTCACTACAGGGTCCAAGGAGGCATGGTGGTGCAGTGGTTAGCATTGTCACCTCACAGGGTTCCTTGTTCAAACCCATGGTGGAGGGTTCGAACCCATGGTGGAGGGTTTGAACCCATGGTGGGGGAGCCCCTCTGTGTGGAGTTTGCATGTTCTCCCTGCGTCAGTGTGGGTTTCCTCCAGGTGCTCTGACATGTTCTCCTTGTGTCAGTGTGGGTTTCCTCCAGGTGCTCCGACATGTTCTCCCTGTGTCAGCGTGGGTTTCCTCCAGGTGCTCTGACATGTTCTCCCTGTGTCAGCGTGGGTTTCCTCCAGGTGCTCTGACATGTTCTCCCTGTGTCAGCGTGGGTTTCCTCCAGGTGCTCTGACATGTTCTCCCTGTGTCAGCGTGGGTTTCCTCCAGGTGCTCTGACATGTTCTCCCATGTCATAATTCTTGTCAGCTGGCCCTGTCTCCTATAGATTATATTTCTATACTATTAATGTGAAACAGCAGTTTTTATTAGCATAATGAGGTAATGATGTTAAAGTAAAAAGTTAAAGTACCTGGCATTTTGCAAAAAAGCTGATACATAACATATTAGCAGAAAGTTCACTGACAACTTATTTCATGTGTTGTTGTTTGTTTCTACTCCAGTTGAATTTGATAATTGTTTTGTCCACAACTGTTTCCAAGAATTATTTCAAGGATGCACTTTCAAATTCGCCTTTTAAAACAATATGTGCAAGACATCCCTAAAGTGTTCAGAAAAGTGTAAATCTAAATATCTACACTGATCAGAACTTGATTTTCCTCCCATTTTTCACAGGTTTAAGTTAAAGATCTGAGACTTGCACAAGAAATAAATATAGAAATATTCGCACATCCAACTGTCTCAGATGCAGGTGCATCAGAAAATACCACTTGAGTCTTTAAACAGATAATCCTGCACACTGCTCAGCTCCACAATCTATCACTAACACTAACCTTTTGGTCTTCCTTGAGCTTAAACAGAAACCAGTTCACAGGCAGCTGGCTCCTGATGAAAGGCCAGAATGTAAATCTAAAGAAAGGCGTGAGGCAATTATCTCACAAACCCCTCCCCTGTCTTCACAGCCACATACTAAATGGCACCATTGATCTCGGTGATTGCTTTTCGATCCGTGCTTTCTGCTAGTTTATTGTGCTGAGGTGAATTAAAGCAGCCAGGCACTGAGATATTTCCCAATTTTATGATCACATTCCTGCTACAAGTCATAAAATGCTCCAGTCACATGCAGGTTTTTGGCACATAAATAGCCTTTACAATCGTGGTGATTAAATACGACCAACTGTTAGAAGTGGCGAGTGCCCAGCTTACATCGTGAGGGCGGTTTCACAGATTGGGCGATCGTGGCTCCACGATGATGTTTACGTTGGTTAAGCATCCACAAATGGTTCGTCACTGAAAGCTTGAGAGATAACGCAGTCCAAATATGGCTTCATGGATGAGTGGAGTAAATTAGGAGAGCAGGCAGAGGAGAGACAGACAAAGACAAACAGGATGGATGGCTCCCAGGTGAAAAGTTAAGATGGGGGCACAGGATGATAATGACTCAGGGTAGGGGGGAGGCTGACGGGGTCATCGTTGTCAGCCCATCTGTTGTTGTGTACCTGCAGTTTAATTGACTGAGTGGATTTACTGACTTTTTGTTTCCACAGTTTGTCTTTGAAAAACAGCTCAGTAAAACAAACAGGACGTTCATCAGTCACAGTAAAGATGCAGCAACATAAAGCAGCTCATCATCTGCAAAGGTTTTTATATCGACATATCAGACAGGAAATGCATCTTTATATATTGATAAACTTAAAATTCCTTCCTGATCACAGCTACATAAACTTTATTATTAATACAAATATCCTGAGTTGATGTTTAATTTCACGCAAATAAAACCTAATTTAAAGACCTGCAGTCTCATTTATAAACACAGTGTACGCACAATACGAGGCCTCAAAGAGGCGTACACCACTTCCCACGCTAAAGTCGTGATCTATAAAAACAGACTTGATGGGAGAAACTATTTTTTGGTGCAAACCATTTTTGGCTTTTGTTCAAACATACATTTTTAGTCTGGATCCTACACACAGTTTTATAAATGAGGCCCATGGTGTATCCCACAGGATTTCCCCTGACACTGGGTTTGTCAACCTCTTTGATCAATGAGGCAGCAAATTAGTCAATTAATCCATCTACAACATTTATCAGCAGTTGTTCTGTTAATCACTTAATTGTTTGAATAATTTCGGAGCTCCTTAAATGTGAGAAAAAGCCTCTTGTCTTAAAATTAATAAAAACCTTTGGGTTTCGAATCATTGGTTTAACAAAAGTTTGATCACATCAGTTACTTGGAAATTGGGTATATTTATGTACACATTTATTTATACATAATTATTGTATATTTTTTATATTGTTATGTATATTCTGTGCACTTTGACCCAAAGATTAATTGATTAATTGAGAAAAGATAAATTGCAGATAAATCAATAGTGAAAATGATTGCGAGTTGCAACCCCTCCTTAAATAATTCATTTAAGTTGTTTTATTTTTTTATGAGACTTGTCTTTTTTTCACATGGAAGTATTTGATTAACATATATTTGGTTTAATATTAAAGTAATTTAATTGTATCTGCTAAATCCCAACCTTGACTTAAATCTATTTTAGCATTACAAAGCTAATCCAATACTGTGATAGTTCGTTTTTCAATACCTTCAGAAAAGGTGGCCTTATTTGTTTAAACTGAAGACATTAGTCGTTAAAAACAGGTCACAAGTATATAGTTTCATTTTTAATAAGACTTTTATTTCCTAAAGGAGCTGGTCACTGAAGTTTTTAGCAAATGTTACTCAGCCAGTACTAAATATTGTACATTTGTTGGGGACTATTTTCAGTGGTGGATTAATCTACTGTTGGTGCTGTAGTGAGTATTTGGTTGCAGCAGCACGGTAAATGTGAGACTGCCACCCAATTATCAAAATAAATGTTGGCATTGTATTTTTTTGTGTTTTCTGCAAACCAAGGATATGTTACACTTTTACGTTTCATACTTATAGCTGATATGTTGAAACATTACTTTTCTTTTGTTGTGACAATGCTGTGGTTAACGTGTGGTTATGTTTAGGCACATCAGTTGGTTCTAGTGAGAGAAAGGTCACGTTTGGGCGTAAAATACCTGCTTGATGTCGTCACAAACACTGCTGGATATGTGCTGACATCCCCTTAAAAATTACTTTGCTTACCTGACAGAGTGTGGGCCCCTTTGCAGTGGCCCAGGTTTGACTCTGACCCTTGGCCCTTTGCTGTATGTCATCCCCTCTCCCTCTCCCAACTGTCCTGGCTACCTAAAAAAAGATAAAAAGATCACTGGAAATGTGCCAACCTCACCACAAAAAAATAGCCCAGCTGTTGTTAGAAATATGCTGACGTTGTCTTAAGAATATCAAATGTTTGTGACAGCAGTCACTGCTGGAAATGTGCCAGCTCAGCTTAAAAATATCTGTTTGTTGTCATCACAAACACTGCTGAAAATGTGCCGATGTTGCCTTAAAAATATCCAGTTGTTTGCACCACAAACACAGTTGGACATTTATTGACATGTCATTAAAAAACACACCTGGCCTCCGACAGCAGCCGTCTCACCTTGGTCTCACTCCATCCACCTTCCCCTCTTCCTCCTGATGAGACACCCAGCTCATTTACATGTCATCTGAAGAACTACGTCATTTTTGGAATGTTGATATGATACGTATAAAACCTACAAATGTCACATATTTGTGGTTTGCAGAAATGTACAATGCAGACATTTTCAAATTAAACTACAGTACTGTTACTAACTTCTTTATTAATTAAAACTCAAGTCTTTCTCTGTCTCCACCTTTTTCCCCAGGGTAAGCGCTGAGGTCATGATCGACTCGTCCAATGTGACGGCGTCCAGCCCCCAGGAGCTGGGTGTGAAACCCGAGGAGCTGCAGAAGTCCAAATGTGTCCTGGGCTTCATCCCAGTCATCTACTACAGTGTGCTGCTCTGTGTGGGAGTACCAGGTAAAAAAGTGACTATGTCATGTAGTAGAAAAACTGTGTGCAGGGTTGGTTCACACAAACTGCAGAAAAAGAATTATGTCTCATATGTAAGTGGTGTCTTCAGTGGCAGATATTTTGGGCTCAATATGCCAAGGTTTTTGAGATTTCCAAGATTTCTGCCACCGTCCCTGCACAGTGGAGGCGAAGTGAATTTAATTTCTGGCACTCAAATAAAAAACATGAGAAAACTTCAACAGCAGTGTCACTGAAAAAGCCCAGGATGTGAGTCAGATATATTATCGAGTAATTTAGTTGGAAGTGACATTTTAAAGTCAGAATATTAGCTGGTGCACAAGAGGATTTTATTCGCACTAAATCACAGTTACAGTTTGAATCACTGCATTGAAATCTATTTATAAAAGAACTGCAGAGGACAGAAGAAATCAATACAGCAGTGAGTTAGAGGTACATTACACAGCTCTAATGGACCAGTGACACTGTTGTAGCACATTAACTGAGCGCTGACTGCTCTTTTTACAGGTAACAATAATCTGATCATCTGATAATCAGTTGGTTTGAGTTCATGAGTATTAATTTATATATTAATCCTCCAGCCAACTGTCTTTGGAATCTCTCAGCCTCAAAATGTTTCAGCTCAGTCATTTCTAAAGTGGAAATAAAAGTCACTTTGATGGACATTGTTCACCTCGGCTTTGTTCTCTTTACTTAGGTTCATCTACAAGTCAATGATTTTGTCAGGGATGTGGTATTGATCCAGCAGGGATTTAGACAGAGTGACGTTCTAAGCTTTCAGACATGTCACCAGAGAATTTGTAACTTTATATAGTCGTACCCAAAGGAAAATAAATAGAAGGTCCAGAGTCAACAGCTGTGAGCCTGAAGGGGCCCCGGTGATGTTATCCAAATATACAGTGAGAATATCCTCTGCAGATACTGTATCTTAGAGAAGAGATACTGAATAAGATGCTCTGCAAGGAGACAAATAAAATCAATGCTTTGTTATTTATACTGCAACAATTGCATGTTCTTTCCCATAAATGTAGCACAGACTTTAAAAGGTAGGATTACTGAACCCATTCTGCACACTGTGGCCAAAGTGACTATAATCTGACTTTTTATGATTTGTGCTGCCCTAGGAAAATTATTAAATATAGAACTGTACATTTCAGAAATATGTGACACAAAATGACCTGACCTAAAATAACCACATAACATATCTTTAACTCTCAAATCAATGGGATTAATTAACAAATAAAACAAGCATGTAAGACAACATAACCTCAGGCTGAGAGGCAGCAGGACCAGCAGTCCCCACACCAGAGGCCTCTCCCCTTTGCTACTGGCACAGGAGCTCTTCAGCACCTCCTCCATGCCAGGTGCACTGCACCTCGTTAAGCAACGCAGCACACCTGTGCAGATCTACAGTGGAGGGGAAAGGGACAGCAGCACAGAACACATACAGCCATGACAATAACTTCTTAAAATCACATTACATACCATTTATCTTCACAGTTTGGTTTGGTTTAGGGAAAAAATACTTGGTTAGGTTAAGTACAGGACTTTTTTTTTTTTTTTTACATTAAATACGTCAGTAGTTAAAGTTTAAAAAAAAAATCAACTTTGACGTCTGGTTTCACACCAGAGGACACTAGCCATGTTTCCATCAGCCTGTTTAGATGCGCATCTAGAAGTTTCGCATCTGAAAATTATGATGGAAACGCCAAAATTCGAATTAAAACCCCCTGATTCGCACAAACTAAAATACGCTCGTTTTAGCCTGGTTTTGGCTGATTTGAAAAAATGTTGATTCGCAAAACGGGGGATGGAAACAGTTATGTTCTAATTAAGTCTGACGTAGCGCATCTCTCTCCATGGTGATATCCACACTCTGGGTTGGGAAGGCGGTAATGCATTTACAAGCTGGTTGCCAACCACCAGAAAACGTAGAAGAAGAAGAATGCGAGACTTGTTTTGTTTCCAGTTCTGCAGAAAACTTGTGTGAGTTCGTAGTTTTCACCAAAGTCCGTACATTTAATGGAAACACACAGGATTCATATTTCTTTTAATGCGTATTTCCCAATGATTCGAATCCCTTTTGGATGGAAACATAGCTACAGTCAGTAATTTCCTGGACGAAAGTCCATGGTTTGTTTGACCCATCCCCCAACCCAACTCTCCTACCCTACACTGACGTTGTTGTTCTTTGTACTACCTATCTCGTGATGTTGTCCAGGGAATCTTTGTCCACCATGGAAAAGGATCATAACTGACTTTACTTACTCTATTTGTGTTGTGTGTGTGCTGGAACAAAATTTAACACATTGCGTGTCACCACCATGTAATGCGTTGTGAAGAAGTCGTGGTTATTTCATGCTTTTCTGTGAGACAAACTGCAGTTATCACATCTTAAGTTAGCTACTGAGCACAGACTGGATTAATGGACACAGTTAATGTGACGTCACTCATTGGTTTGTGGACCTTTTTAAAGCCTCAAGTTTGGCAATTTCACTGCCACCATCTTGGATTTTTTGGGGCCAGAAGTGACCATATTTGGACGAGAGGGTGGAGATAACCCTTACGTTAGCTGCTAGCTCGGTTAGCATCTCGGTTAGATCTACTTACCTCAGAAGTAAGAGCTGTGAATGATGTCACACCCACGTTGACTGCGTTCCAAGTTGAAAAACTAATATGTCGTTAGCTTAACCAGTTCTAGTCAGGTTAGCCATTAGCTATGTTTCCATCCAAAAGTGATTTGAATCATTGGGAAATGCGCATTAAAAGAAATACAAATCGGAGTTTTCCGCAGAATTGGAAACAAAACAAGTCTCGCCTTCTTCTTCTTCTATGTTTTCTGGCGGTTGGCAACCAGCTTGTAAATGCATTACCGCCTTCCCAACCCGGAGTGTGGATATCATCATGGAGAGAGGTGCGCTACGTCAGACTTAATTTGAACATAACTGTTTCCATCCCCCGTTTTGCAATACAAACATTTTTTCGAATCAACCAAAACCCGGCTAAAGCAAGCGTATTTTAGTTTGTGCAAAACAGGGGATTTTAATTCAAATTTTGGCGTTTCCATCATAATTTTCCGATTCGATACTTCTAGATGCGCATGTAAACAGGCTGACGGAAACATGGCTACTGTTAGCAGTACCAGTTGATAACAATGCAGTAGAAGTTGGACAGTACAGTTACTGTGGTTGACTGTGGTGCTAATGCTAACTTTTGCGAGTGAAAAACAGGCTAAAAACCATTGTATCAAAATGTACTTTAAAAAATAAATGAACAAAGGTTTTTTAGGCGACCAAAAAATTACAATGAACTTTTATGCCGTGACAACACACTGAAATAGCGACAGTTACACGTACACTCTGTGAATCTGGGGTTACGTTAGCTAATGTTGTGGCAGAGGTAGCGACTTACTGGACGGACCCAACTGTCACTGAAAGCAGCCACGCCCTTTTGCTTAACTTCAAGCCTTAATGATATTTAAATGTGTGAGTTATATAAAATTTCATGACCTGTGCAGTTGTCAAGAATGTTTAAATTAGCAACAGAGACCAAAACTGTTTTTGTACCAGGCTGTAAACATGTTTATTCCTGCTGTAAAGTTGGACATTTTAACATGATAGCCTAGAGGGATTGACTTGTTCATGGAGTCAGCCTCAAGTGGACATTAGAGGAACTGCAGTTTTAGCACTTTGACGTTAGCTTAAATTTTAAGCCCCAAGTCTGACGCTTGCTACTAAGATAGCCACAGCTGACCTTGGCTCAATTCATAACTTCTCTCCCAAACTGTTTCCTGAAGGCTAATTGAAAATATTGATGCTGATGAACCAACGTCTTAATTTAGTTTGTTTGCCAAATAATAACAGCTGGCTAGCCTAGCTTAGCACGTAGCTTTCATTTCAAACTGAATCTTTATTAACATAATTTAGCCTAGCCTAGCCTAGCTTCACAGAGTAGCAGTAGCTTTATCAACATAATTCAGTTTGGTTAATCTACCTTTAACTGTGTGATAAATAGCAGATAATATGATCTAATGTTCTACTTCTGTTTATTTTTCTGTCTTTGTCTCTGTCAGTGAACATCCTCACAGCCGTGGCGTTATCCAGACTGGCATGCCGCACAAAGAAAGCTCTGTATTACTACCTGTTAGCGGTGACGGGCTCAGATATTCTCTCCCAGCTCTTCATCATCTTTGTTGGCTTCCTGCTGGAGACGGCAGTTTTTCACCGTGATGTCCCCGCGCTCCTGCTGCACTCCGTCAGCGCTGCCGAGTTCGCTGCCAACCACGCCTCCATCTGGTCCACCGTGCCCCTCACTGTGGACCGCTATGTGGCGCTGTGCCACCCCCTCCTCCATCGCCAGATCAGCTATCCGGCCCGGGCCAGGAAGATCATCGCGGTGGTCCTGGTGATGTCTTTCGTATCGGGCGTGCCCTTCTTCTGGTGGTCGGACATGTGGAGGAACAGCCACCCGCCCACAGCCCTGGACACCGTCCTCATATGGACTCATGTCATTATCATCTACTTCCTGCCCTGCAGCATCTTCTTAGTGTTGAACTCTCTGATAATTCACACGCTGAGGGTGAGGCAGAGGCAGCACAGTTGCCAGGAGGAGAACGGGCCGAAGTCTGCGCCTCCTCGGCGACTTGGGAAAACCACAGCCATGCTGCTCGCCATCACCTCTGTGTTCTCTGTGCTGTGGGCCCCCAGGACTGTGGTGGTCATCTACCACCTGTACGTATCCTCAGTTCACCGAGACTGGCGCGTCCACCTGGCCTACGACCTGTCCAACATGCTGGCCATGCTCAACACGGCCGTCAACTTCTTTCTCTACTGCTTCGTCAGTAAGCCTTTCCGCGGCGCCGTGCGGGATGTCGTGCTGCTCAGAGGGGGCCCGCTGTATCCTCGCCGCTCTCTGCCTCACCCGCAGGCCCCCACCAACACCTCCATCTCCTCTCTGTACAGTGGGAACAACAAGCGCTCGCAGCGAGAATCCACTCCTTTGTCACCTCGCAGGGCCAGAAAGCCCTCGTGACCCCGTGACCTCCCCTCCTCATCCAAAACACCCATCATCCCACGGTCCCTGAGCACTTCTGACCCCTGAGACGCACACTGCATTCCAGCTACGGTCGTGGACAGCTGCCAGTCAGCCCTGGAGCTTTCTCAAAGGGTCTCAAATGAACTCGGTGTTTTTTTGTATTATAATCTGTCAGCGGGTGTTGTTTGTCCGTGTAAATCTGATAAGATGACAGCCTATTTATTTTTCTTCAGAAGAATTCAACAAATTAAAAGTAGATTTTTTTGGTATTTTTTCTTTTCCAAAAATGGAAGTAATGTGACAAAAAAAAAATTATATTGTTACAAGAAAGAATATTGTTTGTTTTCTCTGATTAATTTGGTCGTTAAATCCATGATTAGGGAACAAGAAACGACAGGAAGGAAAATAATTTGCTGCACACTGCCACAGTGAGTAAAATCCATTTATCTAATCTCCCACTTGTATCATGCCAAGTGGCGTTCAGTTTGCATCAGTCAACTTTAATTGCCCTGCTCTGATATCCACTCTGCAAGCAGCAAAATGTAGAAATAAGAGTGCTAATTTGAACTGGCTGCTATTCCTGCTGCTGTGCAAAGATGCTGAATGCCCTGAGAGACACTCCGCCCTGCTGAGCATCGCCAATCGAGCAAAGAAATCGCACTCCGGCTCCACATCGCGCTCCCAGGCACAAAGACACCGGCTACTGAGGCATCTGTTTATTTTTCATTACATGTAACTGGATGGAGCCTTAAATGAAAGCTGGCTGTCGAAACGGCAGCGGGAGTGAAGATCCTGCTCTTCAAACAGACATCACCAACATGGCCTCGGCTCTGGCTAAACAAACCGCAGATTAGCCTGATGGTCTCCACACACACACACACACACACACATACAGATGTCAGCTAGTACATTTCCATTTCCAACAGGAATTTTTATCGATTGACTGATTGATTGTATTAGATCTTTTCAAACAAGACAACAAAACAGAAATGTCATAATAAACCCTGAGGCTAATGTCCATGTTTCCCACTGGGAATGGGAACAGGGATTTTCGTGTGACATCATCACAATTTATGACATGTTACACTTGTTGTTTCAGCATTGAAAAATAAGAGATCTGCACTTAAACTTCTGACTTCTGTTGATTTGAATATGAGCCATCTGTTGTTGATATGAATATATTTTTAACTGATGCCCTCGGGATCAGTGAGCTGTCACTGATCCCTCAAGCGGCACTTATTTGTTCTGGAAACACTCGTCACCTGGTTTCTAACAGTGTCTGTGCCGAAGCATGAGGTGATAGACATGGCCAGAGGCATTATGTTTCAGGGACTTTAAGTTTGGCAAAAACGTCCACTTAGACTGAAGAATATATTGATAAGATTTTGGTGGTCATACGTCATAGGTCAAGGTCACTTTGACATTGTCTCACTCTTGTGAAAACAATATGTCAAGAACACTGTGAGGGAGTTTCCTTAAAGCCGCTACAAGGAACTTTTAACTGGATATGCAAAAGTCTCTGGTTTCTGCTGATGTCTGTGCGTGACCTACAACAGCAAATGATACCATCGGTGTGAAGATAAGCTATTTCTATATAGTGTATATTCATACCTTTAGGAAACTTCCAGGACGAAACGATTTATGGCACTCAGACGGCACACGTCATCTTACCTAGCTGCTTACATTTATAGTGACTCTTATAAATAGTCGCTATTCCTCCTCCTCGACCCGACGTCCGCGGGGAGTTAAAATAGCAGCAATCATCGGGTAAAAGTTCTGTGAAAGCACTGGACTCACCAACAGTCAGCCACGTCTCAGTCACACAGAGAAAATCCAATCCTCGGGAAGTCAGGAAATCCTTCAGGATAAACGTTTTGTTCGCTAGTGATCTAGCATTACCAGCCCAATCCTGGCAGGAGCCGGCGGGTCCACGGCGTTAGCTGTCCGGGGAGCCACACACAGAGGCCGCAGGTTGCGCAGATTCACCGAGGAAAGCAGGGGCCGCGGGGCTGGAACACCTCATCCGGGCCGACGACAGATACCAGCCAGGCGTCGACAGCGTCCAGTGAGTGCCGAGAAATAAAGAGGAAGAAGCCGTGGAAGTGCTCGCCAAACAGGCCTTCAGCCTTACCAGCTGACCGCTGCGTTTACCCCAGCGGCGGTGGCGCTTCGCCGGAGAGGTGGAGCTGGGGCGCGGCAGAGGTGAGCTGGGATCCCTGATAGGAGCGGGGGCAAAGTTTTCCCATCTTGTTGTTTCATTCATCCCCAAAACAAACACATGCGCGAACCAGGTAAGCGTCTTTACGACAATACACACTAGAGCTCATGGGAAATGTAGGCTTCATTCCGGCAAAACACTACCGCTTTTGTCCACAGGGTCTCCAAAATCAACTCAAAATGAAAGTTTCTTGTAGGGGCTTTAAATTTGGCACAAACGTCATGGTGGCCACATGTAAAAGGTCAAGGTCACTGTGATCCTGTATCCATGTTTTTATCATGAATGTAAAATCTCACGAACGACTTGGGGGAATTTCTTTACATTTGACAAAAACATCCACTTAGACTGAAGAATAAAGTGATTAGATTTTGGTGGTGATTGGTCAAAGGTCAAGGTCACTGTGACTTTGTCTCATTTTTGTGAACATGATATCACAAGAACACCATGAGGGGATTTCTTCAAATTTGGCAAAAACATTCACTTGGACTCAGTGATGAACTGTTTAGATTTTGGTGGTCACACATAAAAGGTCCAGGTCACTGTGATCTTGCCTCAGTGTCATTCTCATGAATGCAATATCTCACCAACACCTTGAGGGAATTTCTTTACATTTGGCAAAAACATCCTCTTGGACTCAACAATGAACTGAATAGAATTTGGTGGTCATAGGTCAAGGTCACTGTGACCTTGCATCTATATCATTCTCGTGAATGCACTATTTCAAGAACACCTTAAAGTAGCTTAAGTGACACAAACATCCACTTAGACTGAAGAATAAACCAGAAATAGATATAGATATAGCTAGTCAGGGGTCAGTTTGACCTCACACAATATGTTTTTGGTAAAAACTCAAGAATTCTAATGCAAATCATGGCAAAATCTTATACAAACGTCCAGAAGATATACTTTATGAATCTCCAAGGGGAAATTCGATTTTTTTTGGTCCTTAGGGGGACTTGAGCCAGTGACCCTCTGGTTCCCAAGCCAAGTCCCTATGGGCTGAGCTACTGTCCAAAATAATGAAGTTATGACATTTTATATCCAAAAGGTCAAAGTTCAACTTCACTGTGACATCATCATGTTCTGCATGAAACGATTTTCTGGCCATTACTCAACGTCATGTCTCAGGAACCAATTCTGCATCTGAGACATTTGGTCAGATACTGAATTGGTGACTCTAGTCTTGAAACTGTGCTGATTGTATAGATCTTCTGTGTGTGGGCCACTGTTTCTAGTTTCCTGAGGTCTGATAAATTCTACGACATTAACTTCTGGTCTTTAAAATAACACGGTGTAACCACATTTGAGGCTGGTTTAACCAGGAAGTGGTCGTAACTGTCTAACGAGTATATAATATCAGTTTCACATCCAGTTGTTGTAAACTGTTGGATTTATCAGTTGTGTTGTTGTGGTGACAGCTTTATAGATAGATTCCAGCTGTGACAGTAACAGATGTAGCTTTGCTTTGATTTGATGCTCCAAAAATGTGTTTTTACTGAAATGTTTCGCTCCCAGAATTTGAAAGTTGCAAAACCCACAGCAAATTATCACCATGTTTTGGCTTAAAATACACATTTTTGGTGGGACTATCCCCGCTGGAAAAACAGTGACGGTCGATAGAAAACACCCATGTCTGAAAAATCTGCTGGAAACAAAGTGATAGTTTGTAGTTTATTAGTCTCGATCAGTGATGACAAAGTCAGCTCTTATACTACATCACTCTAGAAACGTTGATATGATATGTATTAAATGTACAAATGTAACGTATTCCTGGTTTGCAGAAATATACGATGCAAACATTTTCTTCAGACAACAGGGCTTTAATTTTTGGTTTTATGGCAACTAACTGCACTCAGCCTGCTCAGAACGAGGCTGCACGCCCACATTTTCAGAACAAAATAGAACAGGCTGCAGTGAGAGTCTCTCTCCATGGGATATTTAAAAATAGCAGCTTTGTGCATTTAGTCCTTCTCAGGCAAGCTCAGGGGTTTAGTGTTGCTGTAGCCCACAGGAAGTGAGGATTAGAATATATGACCTTCACATAATCCGCTCCAAATTAATCTATATTTTTAAAGTCATTACTAAAAGTGTGTGTCATATAAAAACTAAAGTGATGGTCAAAGTTGTCACAGTGAAATTTAAGGTGTGCTGATGGAGTCACGTCATCAACTCATGCACTGAGTAACATTACAAGTTAACGTTCCACCTTAAAAGTTGCCGGCAGTCGGCCCAGTGAATGAAGTTATTTTTTTCTCTTTCATTTTATAGTTGTAGTTTACTGATGTATGAACAGAGGTTACATAAAACCAGAGTGAGCGTCCTCTACTGACCAATCAGACTGCAGGGTTTCTAGCTCCACCTTTTAGTACCAGATCTGTGTGCTAGGTACCCCAACAGAGGGGGGACCAAACATGGGGACGCTAAGGAACGCTTCTGTTGGTACCATCCACAACTTTCACTGTGGAGACAGAAAAAAAGTGAACTGAACTGAACCAGACTGCTCGGTGGAAACGGGGCTTAAGTGTAGTAAAAAAAAAAGATAAATCTTCATGCAGTGAAATCTTTCTGTTTCATCACAAACTTATTTTAATGCTTCACTCAACGATGCATTCTCAAGTACAGTTTATATATGTATACATCTCCCTCTCCTCCATTTACTCCTCTGACCACCCATTCAGGTTTAAAGTTTCCAGTATGTGAGCCACCTGCCTGCTCTCGTCCCTCTGCAGTCCTCACTGTGTTTACTGTAACAGTAAGAGACACAGTGTCTGTCCCCCCCGTGTGTCAGTCTGCACATGTCACCCCGCTGGCATCCCACACTGAGTTCTGAGAGACTGTACGCAGATGTGGATGCAAACAGTTTCTTTGAAGACGTCTCCTGCTGCCTGACAACAACAGAGGGGGGTGTGAGGGAGCGTGTAGTGGGGACGACCTTACACTGGTTAAGACAGCAGGGGGTCAGAGATGTGACTGAATCAGCAGTTAAGACTGTAACGCGATGCGAAGACATTAAGAGCAGGCTTTGATTAAAGTTTAAGGGAGCCTCGACAGAGCTGTCGGGGAGGAGAGGGGTGAGGTGGGACCAGGAGAGGGTTAAAGAGCAGGTAAACCCCAGCGGCCACACGCCTCCCCGTCTGCCTGCCACCTGTCCTTTGTGCCTGTTCAAACAACTGGTCATGTCCCACGACTCCGCTCCTATTCAGCCTGCCTGCTGCTCAGCAGGTGTCAGGAGGCATCAAAGCACCTCAGAGAGTGACATGTGTGCTTTATCAGATACAAATGTCTAAATACAGGAAATCATCAACCGCTGTTTATTCAGGGAAGACTGACTGAGCTTTGACCTCTCTGACAGCAGTGCCCTCAATTCACAGTCAGACAGGCCAGAAGGATATATAACATATAACATATAATAACAGCCATAATTAAATTATAAAAATGTCCATAAAAATAAATAACTAGCAGCAGTGTCTGGCAAGAAAAATAACCAACAATAAAAACAGTAAAATGATTAAAAATATCAAAATAGAATAAAACTAAATAATTCTGCCAGTAAATAAGGATGTATAACAACTGCAATAAAACCAATAAATAATCTGTGAATAAACTAAAGAAGAAACACTGAACACCAACTATATCATTGAGTATACATCTAAAACTACCAACACATACCTGTCTAATGTCGGATCCTCTTACACATATTATGGACATTTAAAGGTTGTCTTAAAACATATTCTGCACATTGTCCTCTCCAGACAAGCGCTTATGCTTTTCCCTATTTTCTGTCATGTGATGTCATGATGTCGGAGCTTCATATCAAACACAGCCAAAGTTTCAAATATTGAGGTAAACGCATGTTAAAGTGAACAAAAACCTCCGGCTCCAAACTGCTCTGAATATTCTGTTTCCAACATTTATCCTACTTTCGAGATTTCTTTATATGATCGTCTGCTCCAGGTGCATTAAGTGTCACCGTTACCTACACTGCTACATGTAGCTACGTGCTAATGTCAGGTAAAAGTGTGTAATTTTTGTTGCTCATTTCTCCCAGACTGGGGACTACATTCCTGCTGCAACATGTCCAGTTGTGTTTGCTTTGATTGGTGCTTTCTAACAAAAGAAAGTGCAGCTACACTCTGTTAGTCATTCCCCGGTTACAGTGACGGCTCAGAAACACCAAGGGCACCATGGATGTATAAAGAGAACAAGATACAGCTTTGGAGGGTCCCCTTTCTTACTAATATGAAAGTTCAAAAAGTTCAGTGCGAAGTATAAAAAGTACT